ATTAGATAATCACATAGATTGATCACATGTGTATTAGATCAGTGGCAAGAAATAGGCCATACAATAATTATCATGATACAGGGGTTACGAGCAGTATATTTTCATATTTTCCGATACTGTAAGAAAGAGGATATATTGTCATTTTCTTTTCAGGAACACTGTCATAATATAAAGAACACACCACCATATGCATAACAAGTTAACTTTTTTATGCAACCAAAATAGTAGAATCTGTATTTGTATTTATCGCCTTCTGTCCCTGTAATATCCAACAGCTTAGCTCTCTGTGTTTACAATACTGATATCTAGCAGTTGTGGGTTTAAACACAAAATTTAATGCAGTGTTTGGGGGAACTGATACAATATCACAAAACAAAATACTGTATATTTGTATATATAATCTGTATAGTATATAGAGGGTATTATGTAAATAATACCACAACAGTCTGTTACTCTTCTAGTCAGTCAATTAGTTATGCTAAGGAATCAATCCCTTACAGTCTATCGCCACTCAAAAATGTTATTGCTTCACTCATGTTTGACCATCACTGTGCAGAAATGGTAGTCTGTTTTCACATTCATGTGCTGAAGGAGAAAGTTTCTCTGTGCTTACCAGTAGATACCAGTATGTATATTTATTCATTTATAATATAACATGTTTTCTTATGGGTCTCACAGCCGGGGAGGAAACTGCAGCGGTTCCCCGCCTCTGCAGACTGCCTGTCAGATGTGGAGCCTGACACCAGGCAGCTGGTTAGAGCTCAAAACAAGAAGAAAAAGAAGTCTGGAGGCTTTCAGTCCATGGGTAAGACCCAGTTCCCCCAGCTGCCTGGTCACTGGTTAATTACAGTATTGGAAATCTACCTGTACATATTCATTTGTGCTCTGAAGTCTGATCCACAGCAATATTGTTGAGCTATATTATGTATGCTTTCAGGTCTCAGTTACCCTGTATATAAAGGCGTCATGAAGAAGGGTTACAAAGTCCCTACACCAATTCAAAGAAAGGTAAGTCAGTACCACTTCAGGATCCCTAAGATCAAACATTTTTGACGTCTAACAACACCATATTTGATGTATCCAACTCTTCACCACTTTAGACTGTCCCGGTGATTTTGGATGGGAAAGATATAGTAGCCATGGCTAGGACCGGCAGTGGTAAGACAGCTGCCTTCCTGGTTCCCATGTTTGAGAAGTTGAAGGCCCCTCAAGCTCAAACAGGAGCCAGGGCCCTCATCCTGACCCCCACCAGAGAGTTGGCCCTGCAGACCATGAAGTTCACAAAAGAGGTCAGACTGATGAGTGTTTACTGTTTACTTACTGTGTTCAAGTTGGCTGATATTACATGTATTGCTATGTTTTCTGGGTTAAACAAATTAGTTGGTTAATCTGCTTGGTCTTTGGAGACAAGAACCTCTGTGACTATTATTCAGCGCTGTCCCTGATGATTTGTTTCACTGTGTTGTGGTGTTAGTTGGGAAGATTCACTGGCCTCAAGACTGCCTTGATCCTCGGTGGAGACAGGTGAGTTAATGCTCAATATTTTTCTGCTGTTACTTTATTTTTCTGCTGTATTCTGAGTATGAACGTAAATGCCTCTGCTCTTTTCCAGAATGGATGATCAGTTCGCTGCTCTTCACGAAAACCCTGACATGTGAGTGTTGTGTCATTGTAGTGCTAAAGGATAATGTTTTTCTTCCCCCATTCGTGTGCTGTAGTGTTGTAGTCCTGATCTCTGTACTTTCCCGCCCCTAGAATCATCGGTACCCCCGGTCGTCTTATGCACGTCATCACAGAGATGAACCTGAAGTTGCATAACGTGGAGTATGTGGTGTTTGATGAAGCTGACAGGTGAGACACTTATTATAGACACTCATATTTTCATTTCACTATTGGTATTCTTGTGTATGCATGTATGTGTGAACGTGCCGGTGTTCTTCCTCCACTCAGGTTGTTTGAAATGGGTTTTGCTGAGCAGCTTCAGGAGATCATCCGGAGGCTCCCAGACACCAGACAGACCCTGCTGTTCTCTGCCACTCTGCCTAAACTGCTGGTGGAGTTTGCCAGAGCCGGTGAGATCAACACTCAGTTCTGTTTTACATAACGTCCATCATGATTGAAGATGTTTTTAAAGCACATCATCTTAATCATCCTAATAATATGCAGAATAACATATTTCTGCTTAAGACTCAAGCTTACTAAATAATCTTTGTGTTTTTTTTTTTATATTTCCAGGGTTGACTGAACCAGTGTTGATTCGTTTGGATGTGGATTCTAAACTCAGTGATCAGATTAAGGTAAGGAAAGGACACAGTTTATTAAACATGGTGTAATAATTTACATGGTGTTCCACTGATAGAAATCATGTTTTTAAATGAATTCATACTGTTATTATGATAAAACAAATGAAAGATCTGCTCAATAAGAAGAAACATGTGGCTGAAGAATTGTGATGTCAGCAATCTCCATCTGAGACCTCTGTTATTAATTTATTTTAAGTTTTGTTAGTTAAAATATAACACGATGTGTTAAGCAGTGTGTCTCCCTGTTTCCCAACATTTTTCAATAGAGCTGATAAGCATATAATTGATTGTTCAGACTTAGACTATAAAATAAGGACCATGAAATTACAGCAAAAAGCTTTTTTCACCACAACCTACAGTTGCTCTGCGAGTCCATAGGATCACAATTTGCCTCATCACCATTCAGTGTTTTCCCCTGACACAAAGTGTGTTACACTGCCATCAGGTGCTTTTTACAAGCTCTTACTTACTCGAAGAGTGAGAACGTAATAACAAGACCTTGTGCATTCAATTCTGAGTGTTAAAGGTGCACGATTTGTCTAAATCCTCACTTCAGGTCTGTCCAGCCCTTACAAAATCTTAATTTCTCTGGCTTTCCCTCAGCTGTCACTTTTCCATCTGCGTGCGGATGACAAGCCGGCACTGCTACTTCATCTGCTGAGGAATGTTGTGAAGCCTCAGGAGCAGACGGTGGTTTTTGTAGCCACCAAACACCATGTGGAGTACGTCAAAGAGGTGAGATACAGCAGTCTAGCTCAGTCGTGTCTCTTTGTGTGTGTATTTTCTTTATATTTTCTAAACGGATATGTTTTGTTCTGATCTCCAGCTGCTGACTTTAGAAGGCGTGGAGTGTGCCTACATCTACAGTGCACTAGATCAGACTGCCAGGAAAATCAACATCGGGAAATTTGTGCATCGGAAAGCCATGGTGCTAATTGTGACTGATGTTGCAGCTCGTGGTATAGACATTCCCCTGCTGGACAATGTCATAAACTACAACTTCCCCTCCAAGCCCAAGCTCTTCTTGCACAGAGTTGGTGAGTGGCTTATACACTGATATTTTTATTATTTATTTATTATTTTATTTTGGACCAAATTTCAATTAGGGAAAGAAGTGATGAGGTTGATATGATGATTGAGGATTTGGCCATCGGTCATCACCTGTCTTTTCCCATCAGGCCGTGTGGGACGTGCTGGGCGCAGTGGCGTAGCCTACAGTATGATTAGTCAAGATGAGATGCCTTATGTCTACGACCTTCACCTCTTCCTTGGAAGGCCTGTTCAGTTCGCCACACCTGAACACACAGAAGGTAGGCTAACGCCAGTCTACTGAGGCTGCTAGGTCTCGGTATCTCGGTCACAATCTTTACCTCTCTGCTGTCACGTTCTCAAATCTAAACTTCCCCTCCCCCTCCTCCAGATTCCGAAGGTGTGTTTGGTCGGGTCCCTCAGAGCATCCTGGATGACGAAAGTGCCCATCTGATCACGGCTCACGAAAACTCCCTGGACCTGGAAAACCTGCATCGCGTGTCAGAGAACGCCTACAAGCAGTATCTCAAGTCTCGACCAAACCCTTCGCCCGAGTCCATCAGACGGGTCAAAAGCACAGACATGTCCATCATGGCTGTCCATCCACTGCTAGGTCGGTTTGGAAGAGGATGAACTGTGAAGAGAAAAGTGATAATAATACTCAGGCAGTATCTGGTAACAGCATTTAATTAATCTTGTTTCAGGGTCCGGTTTGGAGAAAATGGAACTGGAGCGCCTTCAGATAGTTGATGCCATCAAGGGGTACAAATCCAAATCGGTGAGTTACTGTACATTAGGTAATAATAAAGATATCTCAAAGTGCTGTGCTACAAACCTCTTTATGTCTTCTTGTAGACTATCTTTGAAATCAACTCTAGCAGTAAGACACAGGCTAGTGGGGTGATGCGGACCAAACGCTCCAAAGACACGCGGCTGGTGGACAAATTCAGCAAACAGAGAGACAAGCTGGCGGCAGAAACCCAGATGCAGCGGCCTATCAAACCCAGCACCGCCGCAGATGATTACGCACACTCTTCAGACCAAGAGGACGATGACCTACAGGTAAGACACTCACACACCTCTGTGATATTGTGATTTAAAAACCAACCATCTACAGCATGTTTCTTCTAGAGCATTTTGTCTAAGCTCTGCATGTGGAGAATATAGCCGAGACACCAGAACACCGTCTGTTCTGGTCATTGATAGTTCCTTCAGGTGGAAGAAATGTAATTTACCACTGTCCCTCATTCAACTCAAGAAAGTAAAAAGGAGCGTCTGATCATCCATTATATGTCCAGAGACAGTAGGCTGCAAAAGTTTTTTTTTTTTTTTTTGTGGGTATAGATTCGATTTTGTTTTGTTTTGTTTTGTTTTGTTAAATGTCAGAAAATAAAGAAAAATAAGAGATTATTATCACATATGATTAAGATGAGCAGCAAATTTTCATCCCAATTGAGATGCCACAATGAGGGAATGTTTTTGCATTTGTTCTTTGAAAAATGTCTTCAAAGATTATTTGTTTATCAAATTAGTTCAACCAATCAATTATTTGACATTTTGAAGACATTTTATAAAACTGTAAGAAGTGTCTGCAAACTTTAATAGGACATATCAGAATCTAAAATGATTCTGAATATTCTGAATGATCAAAATTCAAAATCAGTTTTGAAATGTAATTCTTCTCTGTATCCACCAGGGGGTGTTCTCTGAAGTGGTTGGTGGAAAAAGGAAAGGTCTGCAGGGAGACAGGGAAGAACGGCCAAAAAACAAGAGAAGCAAACAGTCGGGCAAAGACGAGGAGTTTTACATCCCCTACAGACCCAAAGACTTCAACTCTGAGAGAGGGTAAGGGATGAACCGTTAAAATGAAATCAGACGTGATTTAAAATGAATCATCTGTGTGTTTCTAACCTGTGGCTCATGATCTGTGTGATGTTAGGTTAAGCCTTGGGGGAGAGGGCACCGCTTTTGAACAGCAGGCCTCCTCGGCTGTCCTGGACCTCATGGGAGATGAGGGAGAACGGCTGAACCAGCACAAAAAAATAATGAAATGGTGAAAATTTAAGTTCATTTAAAATCTTTCTCTCACCTCCTCTTCCTGACACCAAATGCTTCTGTTTTTTGCCATTTCCTACTATAATGTAGTGTCTGTCTGTAATTTGTAGGGACCGTAAGAAGAAGCGCTTTGTGACACAAACAGGAGGAAAGGATGACCAGAAAAAGAGGATCAGGACAGATGGTGGACAGGTCATCAATAACAAGAAAAACAAGAAGAACTTGTATCCTTTCAACAAAATGTTGTTGTATTTACTTGTTTACTTGATTCCTGCTGTTACTCTCTATCTCTCTGACAATATTTAGTTGTATTGATGAAATGTTGTATGACTTAACGACGCCTCAGTTACGAAGAGTGGAAGAAAAAATACAAGGTTGATGATGGAGGATCTGGCTCAGATGGAGAAACAGGACGAGGACGAGGAGGAGGAGGAGGAGGAAGAGGGAGGAGGCCAGGAGGAGGTAGGAGAGCATCAGTACTCTCAATTTGAACACTTTCAGTAATCCATTACAGCCAATGGACTGCTTTGTTAAAAAAGTAATTATTACTAATAATAACAACAATAATAATAATAATAATAATAATAATAATAATAATAATCTACTAAATAAATCCAAAGGTTACTCATAGGTAAAATTATGAAATTACATTTCTTACATTTATCTGTTAAATACAGGGCTACAGTCTACAGCTGCTTAGCTTAGCACAAAGCCTGGAAATGGGGAAACTGCTAGCCTGGTTGTAATAAATTCCACTTGCCTGCACCTCTATGACTCTCTAATTAACACATAATATCTTGTTTGTTTAAACTTTGGTACAAAAGCTGAAGCTTAAAATATAAAATGTTCTATTTTTCAGGGGTTATATGACTATTTATGGGCTCTGAGCAGTTCCCAGGCAACCAGCAGAGACTCCGGGAAGTTAATAGTTGAGGGCAAAAAAGTCACATAACCCCCTGTCAAATTGTAGTTTTACATCTTACATCTGGAGAACAAGATTTATATGCAAGGGAATCTCTACAGCACTACAGTACTTAATTATAATGCTGTTTGGTACATACCCCAATAAATGTTATGTTTTTTTTCCTGTGAAAATTAAAATTGTGATATTCTAATGATAAAAATGGCACTGTTGTTTTACTGACTGTTATATTGCCATTTTGAATCCAGAAAGAAAAGTCACTTATCTTTAATATGTAAAATGCTGTTTATTTGTTTTTTCAGTTCCACGTACAATTTCTTTTTCTTAATCCTTGTTACTGTATCATCTGTGTCTCAGGACGTGGTCGTGGCCGTGGAAGGCAAGGTCCTAACTTCCAGAGCCCTAACTTCCAGAAGCCTGGAGGACTACAGCAGACGCCTGGTGGCCGCAGAGTGCGCTCAGAGCTGAAGACGAGTGACCAGATCATTAAGCAGCGCAGAAAAGAGCAGAAACACCGTTTTCTGCAGAGCGGAGGCTTGAAAAATGTCCGTTCCAAGAACAAAAAGTGGCTTGGAGAAGTTAAGAAGTCAGGTTTTGGACGGGGTGGTCAAAAGAAGGGTAAGATGAGGAAGAGACTCTGAGAACAACACAGAGGGATGATGGTGTGAGATGGTTGAGATGGAGGCCACCACGAGGGACTGGATGATGACCATTATCTTAACAAACCCCCTTAAATAACTTGACCCAGTCTTTCATGACTGTGAGTTAAAGGAGTTGAGAAAAGCATTTCTAGACCCTAGAGATGAACTTAACTTTTTTCCATCATTGCCTACTGAACTCTGATACAGAGTATGTATAAGAACGATCCAATGTACTGGATTGTCCTCCTTTAAGTGTATTGGCAGATGCAATGTCCTGAGATATCTCTATACTATTAACTGTAGGCAAAATACATATAATGAGGTAATGTTCTGTGTCGTCTTCATTTGCAGTCAGTTACACGTTAATGCAACAACCAAAAGTGTGTTTATGATGGTGTTTCTTTAATGCACTTTTCTTCTACAGATCGTTTTCTGAAATTAATCCTATTAAAGAGGTACTGCAGTGATTTTAATATTCCACTTTCATAAAGTGTGGACACTTGAGAGAGACCTTTTAACTAAATAACCAATATGTCCTTATTTTTAGTTTTCACTACAGGTCAAGCTCCCATAATGCAACCAATGGTATCTTTCCTTGCCTGGTAAACACCTACATCTTTCAAACTCTATTCCAGTTTGTAATGCAGGCTTTTTGTTAAAAACATGACGTCTCTATGGGAAAGCATTGTTCAGAGCCACAGATGACATTATACGACTGTTTTACAGGCTGAGTAGTACTGGCTTAATTCTAGTCTTTGAAGGACTATAAACTAGGATCAAACAATCTACAGTTGAAGACTTTCTACAATGCATCTAAATTGCTCCGTCAGTTCTGTTGTCCAGCAGAATAAAACTAAAGTGAATGAGGACATGTTTGATGACAGCCACTCAGAGGCAGCCTCTGTGCGTGAGTTCACTCCTTTAGGAAATAAATAGTGTGAAGTTTGTGTGCTAGAAAGCTGCAATGATATGGCAGCTGTCTGGGGATCCTGAAGTCTCCCCTCTCTGTTTAATGAGGGGAATCTGGTGTCTGGAAGAATATCTTTAAGATCTGAGACACTCCGTCTACATATGGGATGACAGTTTAGCTCCATTAAACAGGGGTTATATTATCAGGGGATGTATGGACTGACTTACTCAATCTGGTGTCCTTTTGTACATTTTATCGCTATTTTAATGAAAGCCCAGTCTTAGCAACCACAGGCTGTTTGATGTCACTTTGTTCTCTGCCTTTGGCCTTGGTATTTGTTGATATGCCGTTTCTTCCTGCTGGTGTTAAGTCTGGACTGCACCCAGTTTTTGCTCCAGTGGATAGTGTGAGTGGAAAAATGAGGTACTGGTTTGTGTGAGTGGGTTTCTGTGAACCTCAAAATGAATTCACCCACTTTTTTAGGGAGACAGCACAGTCAAAAAATGTCTCAATTCATCTCCTCTGTAAAAATATCCACTAAATGAATGTGTTCAGTGGCACCCATTCTGTGATATGTTCAAGGTTACTTTACGAAACATTAGAGCATCTTCATAAGGTACAATGCTGCACTCTTTTGGTGGGAAACTAGCACTGCAAGTGTATCTGAGCATCCCAGAAGTTGTATTCTGTTTATTCACCATAGCTTATGGTAGGTCACTTGCCTGTGTGGCAAGGGAGAACAGGAAGAAGAAAGGGGGGAAATTGAGATGGTATATATGCTAAGAGATGAAATTCAGCTGCCTTGAATCTGAATCCAGATTCAGTTTGGATGCTTAAGCAAAGACATAAAAACAATTTTATCCAGAGACTACAAATTGTAATTTATTCACAATTAGTCAGGTCTCAATTATCACTTACAATTCTTAGAAATATATTTCTATGTGTGTAATATTAGAATTTAAGAGAATGCTATTTATTTATTTATTTATT